TAACCCACCAAGTTGGCCATATATTGTGTCTATCATATATTGTGGTCTGCATATGGCTTAGAAATGTTGCTGCTTTTGCAGTTTTAGTCAAATAGATATTGGGCTGCCAAGCCAGTTATGTATTCTTTTTATGTGGAAATGCTTCAACCTGGGCAATTCCTGGCATTATATGTTGTCCTGTGTTTCTGTGGTAAGAAAAAAGGAGAAAGTGATGGGAAAATGTGAAATTATTGCAAATGGCAGAAGATAATGTCTGGATTTCTGTAACATTTCGAGAACAAGGCAAAGGTATTGCATTTCACTTAAAATCACTGTATTTCACCAGTTATTCAGACCTGACTTTTTGTCTGCCACTAAGAGCTGAATGAACTAAAGTGCCATGAATAAAAATTATTTTTTCAAGCTGTAGGCAACTTCATTTTAATTCAAGATGAAGGTCCTTAAATTGTTTTCATCAGTCAGTTTTCCTTTGATGGTGTGGCTGCTTTGCACTGGAATAATGTTGACTTTTTAAAAATATATTTTAAATGTATATTTAGTTTATTGGTATGGCAAGGCTTTGGCACACTGAAAGACAAAATGTAGCATCTGGATTATGGTCTAGCTCTATGCTTGCCCCCATCCCAGAGTACACTGAATACAATAAAACTTAGTATCAAGTACAGGTTTTTAAAAGCATATACCATATCAAACATATAGACTGAACACCTTTTATAAGCTTAGTGGTTTTGTTGTTCTCAAATGCAGCATTCATTGCCTTTCTACCTGCATTCAACATGTCAGGCCCCTTCCACACAGTGATATAAAATCCACATTGAACTGGATCATATGGCAGTGTGGACTTGGATAATCCAGTTCAAAGCAGATATTGTTGATTATCTGCCTTGATATTCTGGGTTATATGGCTGTGTGAAAGGACCCGCATCTAGAGCTCCAGTGTAAATGGAATCAAGCATCGAATTAGTTGGACTATGGCTGGCTCTACACTGTAATGACGAATGCAGAATGACACCACTTTAACTGCCATGGCTCAATACTAACTGGAACTAGCTATAGGGAACATACTATGCCCTACTCAAGTAGCTTCACTGGCTTCTGACAATTTTCCAGGCTCAATTCAAGGGGCAGGTTATTACCAACAAAGCCCTATATGCTTCAGGTCCAACCTATCTTTGAGACCACATCTCTTTATATGAATTGACATGGGCTTTGACATCAGCAGGGGAGGCACTTATTTATTTATTTATTTATTTCGGTTGCTTCTACCCCGCCCTTCTCACCCCGAAGGGGACTCAGGGCGGCTTACAAAAACAAGGCACAATTCGATGCCCGTATCACAAACAATAGTAAGACAAAATAACATCAATTAACAAATTAAACAACATTTCTTACATTACTACCATAAAACCAATAAAACCCATAAAATCAATACAAACTAGTTTCTCCTCATTGACGGTCAACATTTGCTAGCTCATAGTTCAATTTCCAATTCCACAGTTGTCAGTCCTGTTAGTCCCATTCGTCTGGTTACCCTTATCTAGGAGTCAGATTGCCCAAAGGCCTGGTCCCATAACCATGTCTTTATCCTCCTCCTGAAGGAGAGGAGGGATGTTGATGCCCTAATTTCCCCTGGGAGTGAGTTCCACAGGTGAGGGGCCACCACTGAGAAGGCCCTGCTCCTCGTCCCCACCAACCTCACTTGTGATAGCGGTGGAGTCAAGATCAGGGCCCCCTCAGATGATCTCAAATTCCAAGGTGGGACGTAGAGGGAGATACGTTCGGACAGATATACTGGACCGGAACCGTACAGGGTTTTATAGGTCAAGACCAGCACCTTGAATTGTGCTCGGAACTGAACCAAGCACAATTCTCTCAGTCCCATCACCATCTCAAGCACGGTTGGTGAGGACAAGAGAGAGGACCTTCTCTGTAGTGGCTCTGGGTTATATGGCTGTGTGGAAAGGCCCTGTAATGCAACTGCATTAGTACTTGTACAGACCAATAGTACTTCTACAGACATCTGGAGAGTGGTTTAGGGGCACGGCATACCTAGATTTCTTTATAAAATATCAAAGAGACACGCTGTATGTATAATATATTACTATTCATAAAGTAAGGAATGGCAAAGGGCTTGACATGAAGTGTGAAAGCAGGCTAGAGGTGAGCAATGCCCTCCCTGCCTTTCATGGAGTCAGCTTGGAAATAAATCAAGGTCTTGTTTCTAAGCCAATACAAATTTTGCCCACACTATTTATTGAACTGCTGGAAGAAGCAAGGAAGTCTCTGCTTAGTCCCTTCTCAGGCGGCCTGGTGCCAACTCCCTTTTGAGAAATGTATTTAAAGAAGATGAAAGGTGCTCACAACCTGGTGACTTCAGGAAATGTAGAATGCAGAGGATAGGACTTGGCTAGAGTTGCATTTCATCCACTGTGCAACAACCACACTGGCTGTTTGTTCATTTCCAAACCCAGTTCAAAGTGATGCTGCTTATCCCTAAAGCGCTAAATGACTGAGTACATGAACATCTGAAGGAGTGGTTCTTTTTTATCAGTCTGCCTCTTTCTTGAGGTCTTAGGGCCATCTCCTCTCCAAATATCATTGGGTGACAATAGTCTTGGGCCCCTTCTACACTGCCATATAATCCAGATTTTCAAATCAGATAATCCAAATTATCTGCTTTGAAGTGGATTATATGGGTCTACAATACCATATAATCCAATTCAAAGCAAATAATTTGGATTTTATATGGCAGTGTAGAAGGGGTCAGAAAGACCATTCTCTGTTTTGGTCCTAGGCTTTTTGGAGTATGCTTGAGGGACCTGTTTGTGCCAATATTTTAAATATCCCATATTGTGCATGAAGTTTTTTCATTCTTAAGACACTGCTTGCTGCTTTGTGTATACAGTAATTCTCAGGTGTGCCTCTCATTATAGAAGATAAATTGGGCTCACTAAAGATTAAGTTGTTTTTGTTTTGTTTTGCAAACACAAGGGTCTAAGGTAGAGAACTTCCTACGTCAAAAATGATATATATGACAACGAGGGGGAAATAGAAAAATTCAGAGAACAAATCCTCTTGCCAACCTCCATTTTTAAAATAGGAGACAGCAGGAATTGGGGAAGTGGGGGGTGGGTGTCAACATCCTTTGTTCTCCTCTTCACCAGCCTTCTGTAAGAAAAAGGTGTAGAGAAAGCTCAAACCATCCCTCTAAGGACCTCATCACATGGACCGTGAGAAGCATTGGGGGCCATCTGTATAGCAAAGGGGATCGTACTGTTAGGACCACATTGTCCTGTTTCAAGTTCTGTCTTCTCATCACACATTTCTCTTTTCAGGTTTTCACTTGTTGCCTGCATTCAGAACTATCACATGGGGAATCCTTTTCTCCTTTTTTATCAAGGAAAACTTCAATATCCAAAAGCCAAGAAATCCCCTGCTTTGCCTAAAGCCTCTTACATTAAAGGAGACTGAGGTCCCTACCACACAGCCCTATAGCCCAGAATATCAAGGCAGAAAATTCCACATGATCTGAGTGTGGACTCAGATAACAGAGTGCCTGTCAAGGCAGCCCTTTTATTGTGGAAACTTCCGCAACAAAAAGGCGGCTGCCAAGACAGCATTCTGGGCAGTCCCACATTAATTTGCTACAAACCAGGAAAACCCTGATTTGTAGCGAATTAATTTGTTAGTGCATTATTCCATGCCTTCTTGAAATGCACTATTTCAGGTGTCAGGACTACAATTCAGACATCATTCCCACAGAACACCTGAAGCCCCTCTCCCCCCAAGTCCCTAGCTCCCTTAGAAAACTAAGAAATACTTAAATGCCCTCCATTAGAATCCCGTCAAGCTCTCCCGGTGCATAGAAATGATGCACCAGGAGAGGGAGGAGGAGGGAGGAAACTCCCCACCCCCCATTCTCCTGGCGCATCATTTCTATCCACCGGGAATGATCACTGGGATTCTAATGGAGAGCACCTTCAGGTGTTCTCTCGGGTGAGTCCCGAGTGAACGTCTGAACACCCACCCCAGAAAGTGCGTGCTTTCTGGGGTGGGTACGGACAGGCCCCTGGGAAAATCTGCATTTTTCAGATGTCAATTTCAAGGACAAAGGGCAATGAATGATGGCCAGAAATGCCATGTGATGGGCTCCGTGCCTCTTCATCCTTGAAATGGAGGTGAAGTGTCCTATGATGTGGAAAATGCTCCATGTAATAAGGTCATAAGTATCTATGCTGAGTGATATCCAGGATTTGTGAAACTTTGGAATTAGTTGGTGAGCGAGTTGAAAACAAAGTGGAGTAAGAGAATTAGCTTCTCTGAGTCCATGATCATTTATAGTGTCTTGGAGATGGGCCATACAGTTTGGAGAAGTGGGTTGTGAGGTTGGATCCCAAGTTCCATTTGAGTTCCAGATAGTTGCATTGCTTCAGTTGGGTTTACTCTGGGTGAGAATGGCGGTAAGATCCAGGCCTATCCCTTCCTGCATCATTCAGAGAGGTTTTCTCTTTCAGAACTTCTAAAACAGCAGTACTCAAATAGTGGTCCCTGGAACTAGAGTCAGTCCCTGCACCCCTGACTGCCAGTCCCTGGAGCATGTATAGCCAATGGATACAACCATGTTGCTGGTCCCTGGCAGTCATTACTGGCATGCCTGGCATTACCAGGGGAAGGGACTCATCACTCTAAAGTAATATGGTGAGATTGGGAGCTATTGACAGGAGAATTAAGGGGGAGAGGCAGGCAGGCAGCACAATGCATAGGAACCGTCATTTCTGGTGCTGCAATGCCACTTTGCCTGCCTTGTGTGATAAAGTCAACTAAGTTAAAAACTGTTTTGCAAACTTTTAAAAAGACTTCTTCACTGACTAAAATATATACCTGGAAGACATATTGCATATCTAAAACATTTTGGTAGCCTTTTTCTCTTTACTTTGTAAAAGTGTAAAATGTTGGGCGGGTGCTCACAACTAACAACATTTTCTTTTTTTTCCTTGCAGCCCTCTGAAGAGCTGATATCCTATGACTCAGACCCCTATAGACAGTCCCATGACAGTTACCAGTATCTCAACAGTGATGCAGATAGTCATGGTGGTAAGTAAATTTGAAATAAATCAGAGAATACCAGCATTGGACATTTGGAGAAGAAAGGATCTTGTATCTTTATCACTTACCATATTTTGGTAAGTGATAAAGTAGTATTTTGGCACGGGTTCAGCTAAACACTGTTTTCCAGAAGCAGTTGAGGCAGGATCTCAGAAACAGTAATCTATGCTGTGAAAGAAAAGCTACATTGGTTATTCTCATTTTTTCAGTCCAGGTTTTTGCTCTGCATTACTTTTTCTAAACAATTTTCTCTGACTACCCTGATATACTTGATTAGAACAACAGAGATGCCCCATCATAGGACACATATTTCCCACTGTGGCTAAATGGCTGTATTAGTATATCCTCCAAATGTTGATTTGGCAGGGAAAGCCACAGTTATGCTTCTGCCATCGTCCTTTTCACCTCCTTTTTAAAATGTCCCAGTTTTAATGTCCTACTTGCACTGTCCCCCTGCGTTCTTAGCTCACTTCAACTGCTGCGTGATGAATTCGTTTGTAAATGTTGTTTGCACTCAAATAGGTCTTTGTTATGCTGTTTATGCTGTTTTAAATTGTTATTGTTTGTTTTAAATGTATTTTGCTCTGGGCTTGGCCCCATGTAAGCCGCCCTGAGTCCCTTCGGGGAGATGGAGGCGGGGTAGAAAAATAAAATTCTTCTTCTTCTTCAAGCAAGGGGAGGAACATTTTCTCCTTGCTTGAAGTTCAGGAAAAAGTAAACTGCTTCAGACTCTCATAGCTGTTGGAGGCTATACATTAACCATATTTGAATCAGCCACCATCCTAGGGTTCTTCTCCTGACTCCCTACACCATGAAATTTAGTACAATTGAAACTTACCACCGCGATTTAGTTCTGCTTTGGCATTCCCCTCACCACAACTTTAAATGAATGGAAGGAAAAGCATGGACGCATCTTCTGGTCCTGTCTTTGTTGACTTGTCCCATAGCAAATAAATGCAAATTAAGGAGAATGGCTAGAATCCTGTTGGACAGTTACAAAAACATAACCCACAGTTATACATTCCTGTGTTTCATATTTCTGTTCTACCAGACCTTTACAAATTGATGAGGGCTGGGTTATTATGTGGTGTGGGTCTGGTTTGACTATTATTTTTATTTAGTTTTAAATACATTTTAGTATAGAAACTTTGTAGTTGAGTTCCTTCAAGTCCTTTCTGATTTCTGGTGACCCTAATGAACCTGTCATGGAGTGTTCTTGGCAAGATTTGTCCAGAGTATGTTTGCCTTTGCCTTCCTCTGAGTCTAAAAGAGTGTGACTTACCCAAGATTACCCAGTCGGTTTCCATGGTTGAGTCTCCATAGTCATAGCCCCAATATTTAAGTCACAACAATGTGTTTAGCAACATTGTAGCGCCTATTTCTAAGGCAATAATTAGATAGATACCTAGTTATCTAATACAGCAACAATGCCAATGATGAGAATGAGAAAGTCTAAAATTAAAACAACACAGACTCTGCCCTTGTAAAAGAGAAGTGGGTAACTGGGTGGGAAAAAGTCTACACTGGAGGGTGATCTGGGAGTTTGCCCTTCGTTTACCTTTCAGTAACCACTTGAGTCCAAAGGGCATTCCAGTAGTGCCCTTTGGCCTTTTAGGTTGTTCCCAACGATTGGATTACCCTTTGGCTCAGATGTTCACCCCGGGGAAGGCTGAGGAGGTTCTCTAAGGTTAACGTCTGGCCTCAGCTGAACCCAAATCAGGTTGCTCCCCTCTTTTACTGATTACTAAGTTCAATTCCAACTGAAATAGGTTCTAAGTCAAATAAAGTGGCCCTTATTCAAGCCAACTTTATACATCTGATCTTGTTCTTCCATGGTTGGTCATCAAAGGGGCTTTACATCATGAACTATTTTCTAAGAAATAATCCATATTTGCAAAAAAGAATGGGCTGTCCCAAGTACAAATTCTCTGTACATTGTCACCCTGAACTGTTCTGGATGTAGGCATTTCCAAGCATGTTTACTTCTGGTTTGATTTCAACTATTTCTATACTGTTTTACTGAAGCTTTTTGACAGTTTACAAAACACGGAGTTCCCCTGCCCAGCACAGCTTCCCCTTTCCTTTACTCCCATTGCAGTAAGATTTTGCTGGGACAGAATGTATGCAATACTGTGATTATACATTTTGAATGGATAACTAAAGCAACTGAGTTGGACTCCTATAAGGCTGTTTTGATGCTATGAAATAAGTGGAAGAATGCCTTCCAACAGCATTTTGCATGCATATGTTTACTGTTCTTGATGTCTCTTGATTTTTTTTTAGATTTAATTTGTTTTATCATTTAACCTTTCCTATGCAGCTAATTATTTTCATGAATGCCAACATCACATTTTGACAGAGAGGGGGGTGGTGTATTATAAATACAGGTTGTTTGTCAGTCCCACGGGAAAATTTGTCAACTTACAAAAATGATCATAAATCTCAAAATTCACATTTTGGTATTAGATTGTTTTATGAAAACCCTTTTTTATGTGGCTGGGGGGCAGTTGTTGTTCATTTGTTTAGTTGTTTCTGACTCTTTGTGACCTCATGGACCAGCCCACTTCAGAACTCCCTGTCGGCCGTCACCACCCCCAGCTTCTTCAAGGTCAAGCCAGTCACTTGCAGTATGTTGAAACTAAAATAGAAATATAAGAAACATAGATGATTAAAGTGTCTGTCTGGCACCTGGTACCTAAAAGCAGAAAAAATATATTGCCATATATTTTCTCTATATAGTAGAAGTGGGTGACAAAACAAGCCCCTTTAGAAACACAACCTGGTTCTATATAGACTGTCCCCCTATGAGTAAGGAGAGGGAAGTGAGTTTTGTCCCTTTAATCTTTTCATGCCATTGAAGACAAATGCTCTCCAACAAAGAGTTCTTTCACATCCTCTTTCACTTCATAACAAGTTTTTCAGAATGACTCCACTATTAAAAAGCCATCCACCTCCTGGTGATGTTTCCTTTAAACAAAAACATTCTGAGTTTTTCCCCACATAAGAAAAGCTGGGCTGGATCAGACCAAAGACCTATCTAGCACAGCATTGGCTTCACAGTGTGGCCAACCACCTGTCTGTGGGAGGCTCACAAGACAGTCATGAACGCAATAGCAGACACTCTATTTTACTCCACACCAGTGTTAACTAACCAGCCATACTGTCTCTGATTTTTGTGGCTAGATGATGATGATGACTTTGATGATGATGATGATCATTATCATCATCATCATCATTTCTTACCTATCTCTCTCTATGGATCAAGGAAGGGAACAACAATATACAAGAATGCAGCATATACAAAAAGTTGAAAATACATAATGCATGACTGAGTTAAAAAACATCAGTTAAAAAACCCCCATATACTGCATATACTCGAGTATAAGCCTAGTTTTTCAGTCCTTTTTTAAGGCTGAAAAAGTCCCCCTCGGCTTATATTCAAGTCAAGGTTATTTATTATTTTACTCTGTTATTACTATTTTATTACATTTATTATTTTACTCGATTATTATTATTATTATTATTATTATTACATTTATTATTTTACTTGATTATTATTATTATTATTATTATTATTATTATTATTATTACATTTGTTATTCAATTATTACTGTTATTATTACATTTCCATTATGTTACTCTATTTATTATTGTTATTATTACATTTATTATTCTATTATTACTGTTATTACATTTCTATTTATTTTATTATTGGAAGGATACGTAAGCACATTTACATTGAAGAAGTTTAGAATAATGGCTTAATCAGAGTTGGGCAATCTTATCTTAAATTACAGTTTTATGTAAATATTCAAAAACATTTAACCCACTGATGCCTCAATTAATGTAATTTATCTATTTTTATTTTGAATTTTACCAGTAGCTGCTTTATTTCCCACCCTCGGCTTATACTCGAGTCAATATGTTTTCCCAGTTATTTGTGGTAAAATTAGGTGCCTCAGCTTATATTTGAGTCGGCTTATACTTGAGTATATACGGTACATTCAATACATATTAAAACAACCATTATATAATTCGAAAATCATAATTTAAAAAAAAATCTGGATAGACCTGCCAGAAGAGACTGATATTTAATGCTGTTTTAATCATATTCAGCTGTTGAAGCTCTTCCGGCAGGTCATTCCATAATCTAGGGGTGGATGAAGAAACAGTCCACTGTTGCCAGCATAGTCCTGCAAAGGGGATTACAAGATAGATAGACAGATAGATAGACAGACAGACAGATATATAGATGATAGAGAGATAGATAGAAAGAAAGAGAGAGATGCTATCAGAAAAAACAGACCTCAAATTATGAATTATATAAATTATGACCTTGACATGCCAGGCTCCAAAACCATGGTTCTTGTGGAAGCTGAAATTACATAGCAGATAGACAAATATATATCCATTATGATTAGCAATCCGTGAGTAGACTTTCCTTTGTATTTTACAGTTGGAAGTTAGAGAAAAGTAACATGACATTGTTTATATGAACAACTAATCGGCTAATCGGCTAATTTGGCTAATCGGCTAATTTGGCTAATCGGCGCAATGGCACACAGAATGACGGTAAACTGAACATAGGAACGGTATAAGGATATGAGACTGGATCTTGTTTGCGATCGAGGCACGGTATGAATGGTTGTGTGTTTGTTACTGGGTATGCTGTGTTTTAATTGTTATTGTTGTGGTAATTAATATTGTGTAAACCGCATTGAGTCACCTATTATAGGTTGAGAAACGCGGTATAGAAATAAAGCAAATAAATAAATAATAAATAACTCAAAAACAGGAAAAAGGAAGAAGTGAAAAAGTGTTGTAGTTTTGTAGATGTTCAGTGATATAATTCAAACCATACCATGTTGAGCCAAAAGTTTACACAACTGAAAAAGCATTTTCCTTCATTTTGGGATGGCTGCCACCAGGCAGAGTGAATAACCAATGCTAAAATTTGTTTCAGTCTGAAAGGACCTTCTCATGCATGT